AATCCAAATTAATGTTTGATTTGATTCGATCAAATTCAAATCAAGTATTCAAATATTTGATTTAATTTGAATCAATAGTAAAGCTATTTCCAAAGCTTTAAAAGTAGTTCTTACTAAGAAAACCATAGTAAAAAATGCTTTCGCAGCTTCAGAAATACATTTTTTACTAAGAAAACCATAGCAAAAAGTGCCTTTACGGCTTCAGAAATGTCTTTTTTACTAAGAAAATATAGTAAAAAATGCCTTCGCAGCTTCGAGAACATTTTTTATTAAGAAATCTAGTAAAAAAATGCATTCGCAGCTTTAAAAACGTTTTTTTACTAATAAAATTGTTACAAAGCCGAGATGGTGGTTATTACTAAGTTTTCTTAGTAAAACTAAAGCTGCGATGACGGTTATTACTAAATTTTCTTAGTAAAACTGAAGCCGCAATAGAAGTTATTACTAAGTTATCTTAATAAACCAAAGCTGTGATGACAATTATTACTAAGTTTTCTTAGTAAAACTGAAACTGCGTAGTTATTTTATTAAGTTTAATAGTAAAAATTCACCTGTTACTAAACTTACTTTGTAAAAGTTATCTTTGTAATTTTTTAGTACAATTACTAATAATTTTCTTAATTAAAACTTTAGAATAACTTTATCATTGTAAAAATTAAAAAAAATTTATATTCAATTCAATTCAATTCAATTCGAACAAATATTTGATTTGATTTGATTTGATTTAACAAATATTTGATTTGATTTGATTTGATTTAACAAATATTTAATTCAATTTGATTTAATATGATCAAATTCAAATCGATTCAAATTGATTCAACCAAATATTTAAGTTCAATTCAATTAGATTTGATTCAATTTGAAAAATCAAATTAAATTCAAATTGATTAAATATTTGATTTGATTCGATTTTGAGAAACCCTACTGAAACCTAATATAATCCTCAATAATCTGTCTTTCCAACTATTGTCACTCCTTTTTCAAACTACCTTCATTCTTTTTTCATATTTCATAATTTTAACTAATCTTTCTTTCTTTATTTTTTCCATTATCTTTGCTTATCCCTTTTCACTCAGTTTTTTTTATAAATTTTTTTTTGAATTTCGTTAAAAAACCTAAATGAAGCTTATCACCTCTACGTGGTGTTCAGGATTAACAGTTATAGATTAATCTATATCTGATTAAGAGCAAGCATTTCTTCGTAACTTTAATTCGTTAGTTATTTATTATTTATATTTATTTGTTTTACATTATTTCCCAAACTTATTATCATATACCGAATTTGAATATGATATTTAGTATACTATATAATGAATAAATTGTTAAAACATTACTGAATTTTCTCATTATAACAAATTGTGAGGTTCAACTGTAATTACTTTACTTCTTTATTATGATTAGCTAACCTAATGATTACGTGAAAGATGAGATATTTAAGAACTCCTCCCTCTATAATTATATAATATGTGTTAATCAAATGCAACAAAAAGAAATTTTTAATGATTTATGTATCCCACAATTGGTAAAATTACCGATTTTTTTATCACTTTCCTAACTATTTTCTTTATTATTCTTTACTTTCTTTAGGAATATGTTAAGATAAGCTTTTCGAAAGTGGTATTTTGGTGTTTTCTAACTGTTTTCTTTATTTTTTTTAGGAATACATTAAGATAAATAAATCAGAAGTGGTATTTTAGTGGATTCCTAACTGTTTTCTTTATTTTTTCTTTACTTTTTTTAGGCATACATTAAGGTTGGCCTTTCAGAAGTAGTTTTTAGTAGGTCTTCTAACTGTTTTCTTTATTTTTTCTTATCTTTAAAAAATCAAATGTATCTTTTTTAAATAAATATAATATAATATATATTCTTTTTAAGTAATTTATTATGTAATAATAAAATAAAATTATAAATTATAAATAAATAAAAATAAATTTTATTAGTTTTGATTTTTTAATTGATCTTTGCTGATTGTTGACTGATTTTAAGCTAATTTATGCTGAATTTTAAAATGGCAATTTTTTGGTAATAATTGGTAGAATTAGACTATATTTTGGTTAACATTCGGCACTTTAAATGTAACGAATTGTATTATTTTGCCTAATGATATATCAAATAACTACCAATCGTTAATGTCAAATGGTTTTTTGTGTAGCACCTAAATTGGACAACTTTACTATAATCAAAAATGCTGATTGTTTTGGCAATGATCGGTAAAAATTAGTCTATATTTCAGCTTACATTCAGTACTTTAAAAAAGTGACAAAATGAATTATTTCAATTAGTGTTAAAGTACTTAAAAATAATATCATATTAAATTTTATATAATATTCTTTATGATTTGAGAATTAAAATAAATATTAAATCAATTTTTAACATTTATGATTAACATGATTAATGAGTTAAAAGTTTTTATAACTATCTTTACTTATTTCTTTTGAAAGCAATTATATATAATAATAATTTAAATATTTAATTATAATTAAATAAAAAAAATTTGTTTATTTAATGATTACAAACTACTATATGTTATATAATAACTACTCTATATATTGTATTGCTCATTAAATAAATATTTATAAAATATAGATATAAATAAATTTTAATATATAAAAATTAAATAACAAATTTCTAATTTTTTTAAAATATTAAAAATTGTTAAATAATATTATATATATATATTTTAAAAATAAAAATATTTATTTATCATCTGTAATAATTAAATCCTCTATAAATTTAAAAAAAAAAATAAATATAATAAAATAGAAATGATTAAAAAAATTTTTAATTTATAAAATAAATATAATTACCAATACTTTGACTATTTTCTGTAATGTTTGTAATATTTTGACTTAAAATCTCATTTAATTTTTCAGTATAATTAAGTAAACGACTTGTATAATATGCTTTTGGATGAGATTTAACTATAATTTTATTATGATCTGAACTATTATTTTGTATTTGTTTTAATACCTTATCTGCTTTATAAAAAGCTAAAATATCATCCCTTAATTCTTTTTTAAAATCTTTATTAATGATATTTTCTTTCCAATTTTCAATAATTTTTTTAATTTCTGATGCAACTGGTCTTTTTAGTGGATCCATATCCCAACATTTTTTCATTAAATTTATATAGCATTGTGAAATATTTTTAATAATTTCAGGACGTTTACCTTTGCAAATATCTAAGCTAAGTTGAAAATCATGAGCTTCATTATCAAATGGAGGAACTCCAGATATAAATTCCCACATAATTATAGAAAAACTATATATATCACTAGCTAAAGTATAAGGTTGACCTCTTAAAA